CATTAACTAAAGGTCACTAAACGCCACACGATACAATGATGAGTTTAATATCATCTTTATAAAGAATAAACATTGGTGTTTATCACAGGAAAGTAGGCGAAGGTAAACCAAACAAAAAAAAACACTGAGGGTTTAAAAAAAGTATGTCATATTTAAACAGCTGGCATTTAGATGAAATAAATTTATCTATTGCTTATCATTGATAAAAAATTTAGAATTATTGTATTTGTAATGAGTAGTATTAAATTTCTCGGCACAATTGTGGAGTTGTTTACATATTAATCAAAAATTGACTATTAGGAAATATCAAAGATTTTCTTGTATACGTGCAAAGTAATAGAGTAGTAATTGGAAGGGTCAATTACTATAATGCCTTTTCGGATTTCGGGGTTAACAGTTTGGGCTGAACGAACGAAGGGTGAGCCCCTGGCTCGATCTAAGAGGACTGAATTATTCACAGCTGAAAGGGACCCGGATCCACCCCGATCCAATGCGATGCACTATTCAAACTATCGATCATCAAAAATATACATGTTTAAATGGGACGACAAGAGAGGACTTGCGTGTAACATATCTTCGCCCGAAATGGTTGAGAATTAATTCGTCGTCGAAACAGGAAACGGGGTTAAGAGAAGGCTAAAATTAGTAGTAATCGAAACCGGGTTGAAATTTAGTGACATTTATCAGGAACCCATCACAAACATCACAAAAGGGTGTCTTGATACGCGGCTGTTCAGATTTCAACTCTGAAAAATATTTATTAAATGACTGACGTAAAATTCACTTTATACTATATAAAATATTTCATTTCGGCGGTGAAAAGAAAATATTTAAATAAACCCCTTTATGGGTTAAATATTAAAACGAGATCCCTCCAAACACATTGAAGAAGACATTTCTAATATAAAAACCTCGTGGTTTAGTCGACACCTGATATTGCTTTATCGCCGCGTCAATTCCAATTTACCTTCCATGATGAATTATTCAAATATCGATTTCGAATAATTTCTGATTGACCAGTCTTTTCAGGTCGGATTTCGACCATAATAGGGCTATCCTAGTCGCAAAGGTTGAGAAATGATGGGGAAAGAAGTGGATTGGTTGACCTTAACATTCCAACGCACATTGCATGAGCACCACACGGTACACCCACGGATTAAGTTCATATCCGAATATGTTAAAAACAAGTGTGGAAAAATTATGGTAAAATCGAACAACGAAAACGTGTTAGCGTCTAGCTCCACTTACCTCCTAGTAAACAAGTTTATGTGGAATCGATGAACGGCCGGCAAAAAGCACATGATTAGTTAGTGGTGTAGGTTAACGTTCATTTTCTGTCCTACATTTACAACATTGTAATAAAAAAATTATAGTTCAATAATTCGATATCAGGTTTTGTAGATTTTACCTATGATTATTTTTTAACTGAGGGTCTTTATGAAACATATCGTTTACAGTAATTTCTTATATAAAACGATCAGTAGACTGTGTCATGATGCAATAATCGATTTTCGATTAATCACTATTAAGCTATTTTTCATGGCAAGTGCTCTTAGAACTACATTGAAGTTTGTAAGTAATTGTAATTTAATATCAAATTATAGTTATATTTCCACCATGAAATTATAAAATTGAATCTTAAGAATGTAATAACCTAAAAAACTTTTGGTATATAGGGTTATTCGGGGTCTGGTGTGACTTAGGTTTTAGAAAAACATTTTCTTTATCGTGCCAACGTTTCGATTTTACAGATACATGTAGGATGTGAAAAAATTATTAATTTATAGAATGCTAGAAAATTTTAGATAAGAAAAAATTACGTTACAACAGACGGCATCGCACGATCTCCGAATACTCATTGACTAACGGTCACTAAACACCACACAGTTATACAGGGTGTTCGGCTATTCGTGTTACAAACTTTGCCCGTAGATTCTACCTTCAAAATGGAACCAAAACGTCCTAATTAGCTATGGTACGAATCTCAGCATTTCGGAGTTATTCCACTTTTTCTGATTTTTTAAGATTTCACGACTTTGTTTGAAATAAACAATGATAACTTCAAAACTAACAGGTTTTGGACAAATCCGTTGATACCATTGAAAACTACTTTAAATTTCCAATAAGATGTGATGAATACTAAACATGAAAACCTTATTGAAATGAGTGTTTTAGTAGCGAAAACTTTGAAAAATATTTTTTTTTTCAAAGTTGAAAAACTTAGTATGATGATTCTAAACTAGTCCTTTCAAACCTAGAGACCAGCAAATTTCAGAAAACGTACTCCATTTAATATCCTTTTTAGTGGTGTAATTCCTTTGTTAATTTTTTTTTAAAGGTGTAGAAATTGAGGAAGGAAAGGAAAAAACCCTGGTTGAAGGATTGAAGGTGGAAAGATTAATAATAATATAAAATAAAAACTTAAGGACATTTTGAATTAATTTATTAAACTTTTTTTAATTTGGGTTCGAAACCGAAATTAAAAAAACGTTTAATAAATTCATTCGAAATTTCCTCAATCTAGATACTCAAAACTGTTCAGTTTCCTCCAAAAATCGGAGGTCCCAGATGCTCATTTTCGATTCTCATATCCGGTGGCATTCATACGCTCTCTATATAGACCCAAAGAGTTGAACCTTCAATTAGGCGGGACACATCGAGAAACAATTCTCTACATAAAGGACTCATACAAAAAGGCTGCTTGCAAGTACTCTGGTTTCGAGCCACAGGATACTTACAATGATTATTTGGATATCGTGAGATGCGGTCTGGTGTGACGTAGGTTTTAGAAAAACAATTTTTTATCGTGCCAACGTTTCGATCTTTATTGTGATCATCTTCAGGGCCTGGGATTTACAAATACTGTTTACATTTTACAAATATGTACATAGACCTACTAATCATGTCTTAGTTAAACCTTCAAACGGATAAAAGTAAGTTAACTGTGAGAGTTCCTCTTCGGGTTTAAGGGGTATGTTGGCCTATGAATCGCATCATGGCTTCAAGCTATCTTCAGTGATTTGTCTGTAATTTAGACAGTCGTGTCCATGTTATTGGGTTGTCCGGAAAATAATGCAGGATTTTAAGTTTTCATTAAAAAAAATCTATATAAAATATTCTGTTTACGTTTACAGGATTACTCATTNGTATGGGAAATTATTTTGATTAAAGAACATTGCTTTAAAGTAACTAGTTTCTTTTTTTTTGTTTAATACCAAAATCCTGCATTATTTTCCGGACAACAAAATATTTGTTTACAATTGTTTACGGGTATTCAACGGCAAATCAACCATCTGACCGACTAGAGTTGAACAACCCAGTTCAGCCTACTTTGAATTGTTAGAAAATTGACGTTTACAACTGGTAATCAACATAAAGTTTACTCAATTAATTGATCTTTATGTAAGGTAATTAATTGAAAGGGGTTATGTGGTCAATCAGATTAAGAAGTGTAATGGATAAATTTTATTCATCTAACACTGAACCTGACGAGAAGACAAACGCCCCTCAACGAACAAAACAGCAAGCATAGCCAGGTTAAACCACAAAACGAATATGGTCAATGTTGAATCCCAAATTCGTCTTTTTTACTTTACAAGTAGAAACTCGATATAAAAACAACCAAGGCCGATCGCAGAGTAATACGGTGTTCGATGATGTACTGCCTGTTCATAAGGCATAATTTTGAATTTTGAAAATTTGTAATGGCGATGAAGCCCCTTCGGGAAGACTAAACAAAAAACAACAAACCGCAGCTAAGATTTAATTAAATTTTATCCCCGCTAAACCACATTCTGAGATAATCTTCAATTATCATCACCTTGTATTAAATATGAAAATTAATAGACAAATAGATACCACACAGTCAATAAGTTTCATTCGTTTATCTGCAGCTGATAACTTTCCGCCTAAAAACACATCTTTCTGGATGCAGTTATCATTTGAAAGGTCCTTGGATAAAAACTATGAGAGTTTCATTTCATCTGATTTTGATTTTTATGGCTATATGTTAGCTCAACGGATGTAGTTTTTAAGATAACTGCTTATAAAAGGGGAAAGTAATGCGATTCCTTTTTTTCCTTAAGTTTTTTTTTTAAATTTTCCACCTTACCAATCTGTCAGCCACTGTTTTTTCCTTTCTTCCATCAATTTCTTCATCTTGGACAAAAGGAATTAAAAAAGAAATTACACCACTAAAAAAGATATTAAATGGAGTACGTTTTCTGAAATTTGCTGGTCTCTGGTTTGAAAATAGTAGTTCGGAATCACCATTCTACGTTTTTCAACTTTGAAAAAAATTTTTTTTTCAAAGATCTCGCTACTAAAACAGTTTTTTCAACAACGTTTACAAGTTTAGTATTGATCACATCTTATTGAAAATTTAAAGTAGTTTTCAATGGTATCAACGGATGTGTCCAAAACCTTTTAGTTTTGGAGTTATCATTGTTTATCCAAGCAAGGACATGAAATATTACCAGAAAAAGTGAAATACATGCGAAACCATAGTTAATTAGAACTTTTTGGTTCCTTTTTGAATGTAGAATCTACTTGCAAAGTTTGTAACACGAGTAGCCGAACACCCTGTATATGTCTTTTAGGCCAACTTGATATTCACATTCTGTAGTGGATGTAATTGTAGAATTTACAGATAAATTCAGAAATAATTGGTGTTTAATTGTTGTTTTTGTCCAAAGAAATTGGAAAAACAAAATTCGAACATTTAGAGAAAAATGGAATAAGAATCGCACCGTCCTCTGCGTGTTTCGCTGACATGATTCTAATTGAACTGTCCTGAAAGGTTAACCGTATTCCGTTTTGCCCACAAACATCGAAAGAACTTAGGCAGACAATTGGAAATCATAATCGTTTCATCGTTATAAAGGAGCCTAACCTCAGGGACAAAAGGAAAATCAGTTAATTATTAGTATATAGATGCCATATTTGAAGTACTTTTGAGATATAAAGTTATAATAGGTTATAAAAGAATGAAGTTTACTCACTTTTGGGCAAGAAGAGGAAGCGAGACGGGCGCAGCCATCCAACCTGATGGTCGTCCCGTTCCTGCGAGTCGTTACGTGAATTTGTGGACAGAAGCCGGACGTTTTGGTCAGACACCACTCGCCGCAAGACGCCCAGTCGCAGTAGTTGGTAAGCATGGTCGTGTTGACCGCTTGGCACATGACTGGCTCCGGCTCCATGCCGTAGGTGAAGGCCCTGTAGGATGGCATGTAGACGGCGACCGCGAGGTATATGACCGCCACGCAAGAGATCACGACTGTGAACTGGCACAGACATATGCTTCCGCAGATCTTTTTGTCCTGCTGCGGCACCACGGCCTCCTTAACCTTTTTCTTCCCCATCTCTCATCCCGCCCTAGACGAAAGTGAATTTCTGAAACAAACAACCGACCTTAATACACACAAAGAAGAATTCTCTTTACAATCTCAAGGTGACTGACTGACATAAAAAGTGAGGCTTGAAGATCAACTGTAGATAACCAGAATACCTTGTAGCGGTGTATAACAATCTTACGATATAATTTTAGAATAGGACTTTATGATTATGGCATTTACCAGGATATTCACATACACATGCACATGCAGTATTGAATGCAGATGTACATGTCTGGACTGTTGATTCGAACTTAAGCATCAACTATTGTACGAAGGATTTTGGATTAGAGGGATTGGATTTTGTTGGAACACTTAGTTGTGTTGTACAGTTCAAGTCTGTATATATCAGGGAAATAAGGTATACAATAGGTTTTATCACTTTAGATCGTTGGTCAAATAGTCTCTTCAGCATTTTATATTTGAGCTTGTGAGTTCGTTTAAGTCGTGTGTGTAGATCCCAAATAAGTCTTTTGCCCAAGTCAAGTCCAAATATAGTATATTTGGAAGGGGATGCCACATAAATAGACAGGTGAGAGTCCCGATTAAGAGTGAAAACTAAGCACTCGGAATTTTAGTGGCTTACCTTGAATCTCTACTGTCGATGAGATTGGAGGTTGCGGATAAAGTTATATGCGGAAGTAACTGGGACAATTTTTGTGGAGTTTGCCATTTGGCATATGGAAATTGTTAAGGTGTTGGAATGGGAGATCAGCTAAAGAAGGAGTAATGTAAGGGAGCAAACGTATTTCCTGTGGGACATCGGTTAATATGGGATAAAGGTAGAAGAGTGTCGCCTTTGGTTACTCGGAAGTGTCGGTGTTATGTAGGTTAAGGTAGTAAAGGGAAGGATACAACTTCCACAACAAGCCATCATACAATACCCGATCAAAGGCCTGGGATAGTCAAGGAAAATAGTCGGGTAGTATTGTTAAAGCTCGAGAGAGGTGGCGAAGGTGTCAACAATGCGGTGGGCTCGGTGTTAGCCGCGCAAACTGAATTAGCGATTGGTAGATAATGTTGAAGAGTTGAAAAATGGCAAAAAGGAGGTAAAATTAGAAAGGTGAGGTTGAGATGGGAAGTGGTTCGAATCCCGCTCGTGACACTGGCTTTTTTATCTCAACCAATACCTTTCATAAAGATTAATTAATGGTTTAAGAGTTTGATGATAGTGTGTATGACAAGAAGGAGAAGTTTTTCAAATATTTTTCTAAGAATGATATCCAAAATTATAAATATTTAGAATCCATTATAGACAGTAAGGAGATATAGTAATTTTCCGAAAGGCGGAAAAGCAAAATCAATAAAAAATATAATCCCCGTATTTCTAAGACAGAGTCATCATTGAATAATGATATACATCTGTTAGGCTTAGATCTTTCACAAGGGACATGTGATGAAAGTGAATATAGCATAAATGGTGGAAGTGTAGTGTAAATTATTCGGTGTTCAAACTAGGAAAAGGTTTCCAATTAGCAAATGAAAGCAGAAATGGTGATGAACAAAGAGAAGCTGATCATGTGGTCCACCACGTATATAGATTGCCAAATCAGGGCTAAAACAAATGGCACTAAACAGAAGATTAAAGGGAAGACCAAAAAAGACTGGGAAGCATAATGGACTGCTGGGTATGTTTTAACGGAAGATGGCTGGGAAGATTGATAAGATTAGATTCTTTCAGGGCATCGTTACTCCTTCAAAAATTGTTGGTTTTCTTTACAAACAAGGCACCAACCCGGGCATTTGCATAGAAGAAATGGTTAGGAGTTTGTGGTTTTTGTGTAGCAATTTTTTTCCATCTTCCATACCAAACAACTCTGTATATATTTGAATTGGATTGTAATAGGAAGTTGTAGTACAATGCCACTTTCCTTATACTCTTGTTACATGCATTGTACCGAAATCATGAAAATAAACATTCCTTCAATTCACTAATTTCGTGGTCCGCTTGACCAATTAAATCATTACAATTAATTAAGGTTTTTAGTTGAGATGAAAAAAAGTTAATGGCACGAGCGGGATTCGAACCCACGATCTTCGGCTAGATACGCCGCTGCTCTACCACTTGAGGTATCGTGAACTCGATCCACTCGGACATCAACTTCCTATCTCAACCCCACCTTATGAGTTTTCCCTCCTTTTTGCCATTTTTCAAATGTCGTGTAATCGGTTTGGATTCTCGACGACAATTGAAATGGCCACGGAGAGCTTCACTAATTCACTAACACATTTGAAAAATGGCAAAAAGGAGGGAAAACTCATAAGGTGGGGTTGAGATAGGAAGTTGATGTTCGAGTGGATCGAGGTCACGATAGCTCAAGTGGTAGAGAAGCGGCGTATCTAGCCGAAGATCGTGGGTTCGAATCCCACTCGTGCCATTAACTTTTTTTTCATCTCAACTAAAAACCTTAATTAATTGTAATTCCTTCAATTATTCATCGCTAGGAGGATTAATTTATTGCATAAGTCTTGAGGGTGATAACCCTGTAGTTTGGTTGTTTCATCCTGGTCTGCCTAGTATCGCCGAGTTGTCTGACAGACGCGTTTTGGTCGTGGGTTTGTTTGTTCGATATTTCGTTTAGTCTGGTTTTATACATTGATGAACGTTGGATGGAGTGAGTCGGTGATTTTGATGGATTAGGTCTTAGTTTTTGATGTTTGTTCATTCATTATGATCGATTATTTTCCTTTTATTTTCTCTAATATTTTGAATGACGTAAATGGTTTGAATGAGTTGTTGAGTTGCGTGTTCATAAGTAACTAGTTCCTGTTGAATGTGTTGGGTTTGTGCAAGTCAAGGATTGGATGAACATTTTTGTACGTTATGGAACGATTTTAAACTTGCCAATTGTCGAGGGTTCGAGGTGGTTTTGTGTGAGGTGAGTTACTTAGTTTGTTTTTCAATGATTTTTCTAAATGACCTTATACGTTAAGTATGTCAACCTTCCATATAAAACCAGTTTGCCCGATAAATTATTGTATACCGTTTTGGTCTAGTGGGATGTTCTACGTTTGTTTATATTTGGTTTCAGAAGTTTTCAAATTGTGTTTGTTTCCTTTGTTTAAGGACTAAATATGCAGGTTAGTTTTCGTGCTGACCGCAATTTACAACTTTGCTAGAGGTTACAGAAAGTAAATAATCAACGTACGTAATCATATTTATTTGAAATACAATAACATAGTTAAAAATGATTTAAAGGATTAGAAAAGAAAATGAGGAAAATGTAGAAACAAAATTTTTATGTTACATCTGTCCAAATTATATCCATTATGTAATATGACAGTAGTATTTACTATTTGCATATAAACTGAGGGGATCCAGCAACCATTCACTGTTGCTCTTCCATCTTTCTGATAGTTGGTTATCTACTTCTATCGCGTCAGTCGCCTTACTGGATTGTAGTACATGCACCGGGCTAATGTGTTAGGATATGCGGATAGTTTTTCATGGAATGTGGAACATTTGTTGGGGATTAGCATTTTAACGAAGTGTGTGGTGATTAGTGACCGTTAATCGATAATTATTCAGAAATCTTGAGATGCGGTCTAGTATGATGTAGGTTTCAGAAAAACATTTTCTGGGCACGATAAAGAAAATGTTTTTCTGAAACCTACATCACACCAGACCGCATCTCACGATTTCTGAATAATTATTTTAACGGAGGGTATTTGGAAGTCATTGCGAAGCGTAGGAAACGTAGTAGATGGCGAGAGTTGACAATGGTTCTGATCCTGGTCTGAGGGCTTTGGATTAGAAGGACTGGACTGTATTCTTTGGATGTTGGAAGGTTTAGCGGTGTCCCTAAGTTACAATCTGTAAGTCTAAATCTGTTTCGGTAGTGTCTTATAAAGTGTTGTTTTTTGTTAGAACGTGTGATATTCTTGATAATAATTTGTACAGTAGTCCTAAGCGTTTCTTTAATTCTTCTTCTTATTATTCTTATTTCGTGCATACGGTTCCAACTTAGACGAGAGTCGACATACAACTCGAGGGAGCGTACACAGTCAGTTTTTGGGATAGGAGTATTATTGAAGAATATTGTATGATAGGTAGTATCATTTTTCAGTCCTAATCCAAGAAAGAAGCTCAGATAGTAATAGTTGTTCAAAAACCAATGGCGATTAAGAGTGTTTAATAGTTGAGGTTGAGAAGACTTGTACAACTACGAAGACTTCTAGGACCTAAATCCGTCTTGACAGTCATCACAAAACTAACCTTACAAGTAAATGATTTTACTAAGACCTCTTGATGTGGTTTCTGCCAAGCCGTCTAACATCCAGCTCATCCAGTCCTTCCAGACAAATTGTTCAAGCTCCTTACTACTAATCTCATCATCTACAACGACCTCGTTGCCTTAATGGACGATGGCTGCGAAACCTTGCTCCTTAATCCCTCACATTGAGTGCCGGCATTGGCAAAACAAGTTTTATGATCACATTTGTAATATGTACTTGTGAAGGGTACAAATAAAATAATTTAAAAAATAGAGCAATTTGTTGAAATTTTTGCATGCAATGATGAGGAGTTTTGAAAAAACGATGTTTTGAATTTTGGGATTACTAGGATTTGAACAAGATGATCTCGGTATGATTTGGCTATATATAGTGAATGCTATATAGATATTCTAGGTTTTGAAGTATAATATATTGAAGATAGGAGTTAATGAATTTCTTGTAAACATAATTCTCAAATCTTTTAATTTGATATTGAGTATAAAAGGACACAGGAATTTAGGGCATGGTCAAAGCGGGAATTTTATGCTGGTATATTGACGGAAAACTATTAAATGTTATAGTTTAGGTTATCAATTTTTAAAAATATAGATGCCTTTCCGAGAAAGAAAGGGGGCTTTAGGGAAAGGGCGGCTTTAATCAAACCAAGGCTCATCTGCAGCCGAAGGGCCACAAGCTCTTTATTGCTCTGTTATTCTACTTTTAGAGGACTTTATTGAAATGCCGAAGGTCTGTCATTTCCATCGTCACGGGAAAATTAGAATAGGACTTATGAAGCGGGCAATCCATTTCCGCGGAGAGAACGTCGTAAACAAAAGGAAAATTAATCCTTTGGGATTTTCTTCTTAAGCTGTTCAGAGCATAGAAATTTTCTGCAACGATTGTTCGTCGTTAAATGGATTTTTGATAAAGGTTCGAAAGCGTTGAAACAGCGATTGATTCAGTGCCGAATGGTTTTCAGCATCCCAGTGGGTCTCGGTAAACACTTTACGGCCATAGGGGATGGTCCTGTATTTCAATAAGAGTGGCGAAAAGCCCCAACGTTGGCCATGTCACCGACTCCCCGGGGCACATAGATTTCCTATTATAATTCTACCCAGACTGACTAATGTTTGCAGGGCAAAACAGAGCAAAAGGTCACACAAAAGGGGAAAAAACACAAAAATATCTGTCTGAGTTTTTAGCAACATTAAGTTAACTTATGTAAAATATTTTATTTGTTCTTCCTTCAAAACTGACTTATTTTAGATTAAAAACTTAATATTTAAGATAAAAATTATAGTAATATTTTAAAAAAATTTAAAATTAGTTAAAGGTGCAGGAACGACCAAAGGTCTTGATTATCCCGTGCCTATGCTGGGATAGATAGCTGGAAAAAAAGTCACCCTCCACTGTACACCGCCAACAAAGAGATTCCGATTTTTAGTCAAGTCAAATATTTAGGACTGTGCATAGACATCAGACGTGGAATCCTCACAAAAGATTTAAGAGACAACAAGTCAACAGAAATCTCGACAATTACGGAGACAGCTAGGACGGAAATAGGTCTTGATCATACTAAAATTATTTTGTACAAAACTTTAGACCTTCTAATCAAAAGTCCTCAGACAAATCATCAAAGCTCTTTACTTCGTCACTGACCTTACACTCGACCTCAACATTCCTTTTGTAGCGCATTGATTCTTAACAACACTTACAACAAATTTTCCTCAATCTCTAAGCCTGTATTCGGACCCAGGGCGCTAGCGTAGAAATACGAGTCGGATGTCCTAACCACTTGGCCACCGCGTTCCCTTTTGAATGTATCATACTTGTTCTATTTAATTTCTCTTAGAAATAAATATTATATGATTTTGTCCATTCAATTGGATGAATTGTTTGAGCACCTATACAGTTTTTTAAATTGTTACAAAAACAATTTATTAAAAAGAAATTGAGTTATACGGTATAATTCATTTGATCAAAACCCTTAAAAAAAGCCTTCAATTAAGTTGTAAATAAATGAACATATGACTTTTTTTTATTATTTGTGTAATTTTATTATTTTTTCTGTATTTAAATTGTTAACGTGCTGGACCGTCTTAGCCAGAATAGATGCCAGGAGTGAGTCACGTTGAACCGGCACAGGATCACTTACTGGGTCTGTATCCACTCTGGTTTTTTAAGTGTTTCCAACGCGTTTCGGCATCGCGCCGTCTTCAGTGAGGAACTCACTTTCGTTTCCTTACTGAAGATGGCGCAATGCCGAAACGCGTTTGAATAACTACAAACAAAACCCCACGAGTGGAGACAGACCCAGTAAGTGACCCTGTGCCGGTTCAACATGAATTTACCGACTCGCAGACCAAAAACCATCAAAAGTGAATCATTTCAGTTTTTTTAAATACTCGAGGTAATCAACTAGTTGATTATCTTAGATTATCTACCTACTGATATAGATACTCTCTTAGCTTAATTGATTATTAACCGCGGACAAGGTGAGGTACCTCGGACTGTAGTAAATAGACAAGCGCTTGCCGGAATTCTCACACACGACTAAAACGTCAGGAGGTTATGACATGATACAGAGCTGTTGCGCGACTTCTTGACAAACGTTCTAATTTACCTCCTAAATATAAAAGGCTGCTTTATAAAACCACTTTATAGCTAAGTCGATATGAACTTACGGACTGGGAGTGTGGGGTTCAGCCAAACTTCCAACATCCGCTGCTTTCAAATTGCCCAATCCATAATTCTACGAAAAATACTAGATGTTCCGTTTTATGTGTCTAATCTTACTATACATACAGACTTAAGAATTTCTTACGTTTAAGATGAAATCCGCTCTTTTTATCGAAAACCTCACAATACCCTCCCAACCACCGTAAATCAGCACATCGGAAACCTTCATTCCGACGAATCCCCTTGAACCCTCCTAACCGACTGAACATATAATGGCCGCGAGATCTCCTAGGAAGTGATGGTGACGGTAGTGAAAGTAATAATGATACAAGTATTAATTAAACAGACAACATTTTAGTATCATTAGAGTACTATCAATGGGTATTCTCTTCACTGTTGCTTTTAATTTTGTATATATTTCCTTTCTCATTGTTTCATATTACCTATTGGAAGATAGTTGTAATGTACTGAAAAATAAGAAAAGAATCAAAAGGAGTAATTTTAAGTATGTAGTTTTTAGCCGGTATAATTCATTTTCTTGACCAAAACTAGGAGAAAAGATCAATAAAGATATAAAGTTTTATATTATTTTTATGATTATATTACTTTTGTATTTGTTGATATTGTCAGCTTGCGTGCCAGAGGCACTCGATAGTGAGTTGGTTAATATGTAAAATGAAAAGATCTGATGAAATAAGACTCCCCGGCGACGCCTGTTGGAATGCGAAATGGATAAAACGTGCTGTTGTGCAACCAGTTCAGTATTACAAGTGAATATATTGCACACATTAAAAATCTTTGTCGAACCAAGTTTTACTCTTCTTTTACACAAAGTTTCCTATTTGATAATCCGTTAAAAAATCATGTTGGAAGTTTATAAACGGGGGATAGCGTTAAGCAAGAAAAAGAAAATTCTGCGTTGTTATTAAAAATTGAAACTCTTACTCGACAGAGTCAGATTGTTAAGAAATTACAAAACATCGTTCCTGTAAACTAACTTTTTACGATTCAAGAATTTTGTTTTTCTTTTGGCCCGTGGTAAACGATCTCGTTTTATTACGCCTTTGAAGTTGCAAACTCTATTGATTCAGTTGCTGTTAGATGTTCGTAACACTTTTCTTATTTCATTTAAAAAACTTAGTGAAAAAATATGTTCTTAAATTCTGACGCAAACGGAAATTTCTCATCATATCAGCAACTATAAATATGTATAATATAAGTGTAATATATATATATATATATATATACGTTTTGAGAGGAATATAGAGGCATTATTCGTTCCGTAAATACTCACAGCGTTGGGGTAGAAATTAATGATTATTAAATTATCTCCCCCATTAAAACTGGGCTTCGCTTAACTGAAGTATTAACATAATGAATTATCTTTAATGGACTAATCTTTTTGTAGAATAAAGTTAGGTATTTGGTTTGAGTAGACTTTTGAATTTGCTTCGAGTCCCCAGTCCATTGCATATCCCTACTATTCGGATATTTTCAATCGTAATAAGGGACTTTTGAAAAATTAACTTAAAATCAAGTTAGTTTTAAAAAGCTTGATCAGCGGAAGGATTAGGGCCAATTAACGATTAGCCCTCAGCTCAACAGGCGTTGTTTACCTCCATGAGAACACGCATAGAAATACGATGTTATGTGGCTTTTGAAAGCTTGTTTTGAATTTTTTAAAATTTATATAAATTTTTGTATAACTTTACAAAAAATAAAGAAACTTATATAGTCTAACAGAATAGTTTTGGAACAACTTTAAGTCGATGAAGCAGAAAACGGGCTTTTTGTTGATTTTTGCTTATTCTAATTTAATCTATGTTAAATATTTGTTTTTATTTTAAAAAATATTGTCTTATTAAAACTTTTTATTATTTTCTATATATTTCTTAGCTCGACATCACTCATTTTATACTCAGATTAAAAGTTGGGAAACTTTATATGTATCCTAAGTATTTACTTTCACTTCCCAACATTTGTGGGAATTATTCTTTATTTTTTCTTTGAACATTAATTAATATTCTGTTGGTTAATCTTAACAAAAGAAAAATGGCTTGTTAATTTGTATTTAATTTTTATTATTATTATAACCGGTGTGCTGGGATTTTTGGTTTATAGGAAGGAATTTTATTTTGTGTTGAATCAATCTATCCACATTTTTTATTTTAAAAAATGACGACTTAGCTTTTAATTAAATTTTATAATTTTATATTTAATTCATTACAATAAATTTATTGCTTAATGAAAAGCAAAACGTAAGGACCATTCACGGAAAAAAAATGTTAAGTAAAAAGTAAATTAACGAAAATTTTCTTAGTTGAAGGAGAGATTTAAAAAAAATTAATAATACAATAAAGACCAATTGTAAAGGTTGAAACACTACAGAGTTTTCTCCGGGATGTAACAACGTAATTCCAGGATGCAAAGTTGCCCCTGTTGTCGTTTAGGACATTTTCTTCTGCAAATTTTCCTTCTACGTCGTTCACCTTGACCTACCAATCTTTGACATTACTACGAAGCTTTGTCATTCGCATACATTTACATGATTTGCTTAAAAAAAAGAAAAAATCGGAATATAAGAAACGGATCGGTTAAGGGTGGTGAGGGTTTTTATTCAGTGCGTACTTTTGTCATTTTTGGCATCGTTACCATTTTTTGTGGCAGGCTGAAGCTTTTTTTTTGTGGCTTACCTGTTCCTCTTTTTGCATCAGCGCTCGCCGGTGTTTCGTTGGTAACTAAGGGGGTTGGCTGTGTTGTGCTTGAACCGAGGGATGCTCCCCATCACGCATGCCTATGATGTTCTCACCCCAGAGGGAAACTGTTTCCGCTCTTAATTAGATTCGAAGGATGGTTAATTTTCTTTCAATCTCGACATCTTCGAACCGTAACGTTTTCAATTTTCGACCTCGTATCCGGGCCGTAAAACTTTCAAAAATATTTTCAAAATTGACTCCCTTTAGGAAAATCCCAAACAGAGCAGGTTGTCATGACATGTTGTCATTATTGTTTGAAGAGACTTGACTCAAACTCAAAACTCGAATTGCTCGGAAAAAATTTAGCAAACCTTTATAAGGTCTAAAGCTAAAATTTTTGTGGTAATAAACTATGGATGTTTTTTGGGATTACTGAATCATTTTATTTTAAGTAAAATGATATGAAGAAAGCATTCGATGTAGGTAAATAATTTTTATGCGATTATGCCATTGAGGTCTTTTATGATAAACGGGTGAGCAAGATACATAATGAACAATATTGTAAGCATGCATGATAATAATTAATAAAAATACATAATTTTTATGTAATATTTTATGAGGGGTTTTAGTTTATAGTTTTGCTTTCTAAGAGAAGGCGGAACAACTTATTTTATTCATCTATTCCATGATAAATTCTACACAAGACATCATAAAACGTAGACTCGTTCGTGACTATATGTCCTCAGAAGGCATTTCTACAAAGTTCAAAAAGCGAAAAACACAAAGTTTAAATTACAGCATGAGTATGTTAAATTCCGCCGTTATGTTTTAAATTCCACACGTGTGATTGAAGTAATTTTCCCTTAGTCTGAAATTAAGTTATTTGTTTTCTTTATTTCACAATGACATATTTACACATGTGTAAGTGCTTGGGGTCGGTATTTTCGCCACCTAATTTTCATTACAGCCACGAATCTTTGCATTTTTGGAAATAAATTTTTATAATTTTAATCCATTCTGCTACTATTTTTTTTCGTTGATGCGTTTCGATTACTTTTACAACCAAATTTTCTTCAAGGATTTATGGTTTTTCAAACAAATTCGGGCAACAGCAGAAACAGTCCATATTGGGCGATCTACTGGCGATTGTTTATACTACGGAAAAACTTTAGTTCCACGGGCAATCTGCCTTCCTAAATTTTACCGCATTCAACTGCCATGAAAAGCAGTAGTATTTATTACTCCTTATCTCCTCTGTATGATACCTACGAAAAAACGTACTTACTTCGCCTCCTCATATCGGATTATCAACATTCTCCCCCATCCTTGGCAAATTATTCTAAAAGCTTACACACAATCCGCTGTAAACATAAAAATCTGTACTGTAGCTTTAGCTTTTAATAAGTTACTTTAACTGATAACTTGTACAATAATATATCCTTCTAACTCCTACGTTTGATGAACAAATCAAGTGAAATGCATTTGGTTTTGCAAATTTTCAGTTTGGTTTCAACTTAATTCTGCAGTGTGTGGTGATTAGTGACCGTTAGTCGAAGATTATTCAGAAATATATGTTTGTAAATCCCAGGCCCTGAAGATGATCTCAATAAAGATCGAAACGTTGGCACGATAAAGAAAATGTTTTTCTGATACCTACATCACACCAGACGGCATCTCACGATTTCTGAATAATTATTCTGGAGTTTTTAATTTTTTTGTCTTAAGGCTGGCAAATTAAATTTTTTTATTCCTTATTTTTCTTTTCTTGCTTTTCCAGCTAACTAATTGATGTTATATGATATAACAGTAACCGAGACTCTCTTACGTTTATCCTATTGCTAACCTCTCAGTATCTGAGGGCAATTGTGGATAAAATATCACAGTTAACACATACACCAAAACACATAAATAAAACAATAGTATGGTTAGAATTCATTCTACCCAAGAGTATTCGATATTTCTCGGGGTTATTGGGGATAAGTCCTATATTCGCGCTAATAAATTACATTCACACATCAGATTACGTTCACACTACCCCAGAGCACTCTACATTATTGGGGGTAAAAGGGGATAAGCCCCTTCATACGTAATAACAAATTACATTCACAGTACCCCAGAGTACTCGATATTCCTTGGTGTAATAGAGTGGGGTTTGTGTTCACTCTCAAGCTGTACTTGTCTTTTATCCTGAAGAGGCTAGGTTCTCCAGACTCGAGACTCTCAAAAATTACCTCTCTTGAAAAACTTCGATCAGAGATTTCTTGGTTCTGTGCCTGGAAATCACTGTTCGCGAAATACGATATTGGCTTCTCCCTGCCATTGGAAAATATCGCTAACTGGAGCACCCATTTTTCGGCTCTCTTATTAATTCCCAACACCGATGTGAATGTGTTGATCATGCCGGTTGAGCTGCGTTGACTTTTTAAAATGCGCTGCGAGGTTCTTCAGCTGACCTCGGCCGTGTGGAATAAGGGTGGCTGCTGTTCGCTTTGCAATTCGCATGCCCTCGAATATGCTTTTAATTTCTTGGCAGAATGTTCAATTTTGGGTGATATCCGCTTGCTTCACTTAGGTTGCTTTACTCTGTCAAGGGGCGAACTTTAGGGTTTTTTGGAGGGTTCAGGATCTAAGCCTTTGATTGGATTTTGTGAGGCAGGCTTGGAGCTGATAATTGGAGCGAATACAAGCTGACAAATAATTTAATTTTTCATTTTATTACCGAAGTAATATATACAATTTTTTAATTAATTTTTCTTTTTCTTTTTTTAAATGCATATAGAATTTTCATTGCTATTTATTTTAACACGGCGACCTATGGCAGACGGATTTTTCGTCCATTGTCTATTTACTGTTAAGTTTTTCTTCTCTCTGTTTTATTTGTTTATGTTGTAAATATCAGTTTTTCATTCATTCATTCGTAAGGGGGGATAAGACTCACCATACACATTAAAAAATTACATTCACAGTACCCCAATATTCCTCGGGGTGATAGGGGATAAGCCCAACATTCGCGCTAATAAATTTCATTCAAACCACTCCAGTAATCTAGCCGTAAATTGTTATTTGAATTTTTATATTTTCTTTAGCCTCCGCTATTACGCAAATTTGCAATTTTAGATGGACGCAGTTTTTGAAATTTTCGTTTTGATATCGTCCGCTGCAGTTATCGTGCCATACGCTTTTCGAGTTTTACTATTTTCTTTAGTCACAAATTTGTACTTTACTAAATTGTATAACAAATTTAAGAGAAATGCAATTTTTCTATTCAATTTTTTACTCTTGCAGTTACTTTACCATAAATTTATATAACTTTTATTTTGTCTTTAGACTCCGGTAATACATAAATATCGACTTTGTGAAGTACCGTTTTGTTAACTGTTCGTTTGTTTCAACTGGACTTCTTTTCAACTCAAGTGTTTTATTTGAATTTGTATCGTTTCTATGGTCTCTGCAAATATAATAATTTTCACTGTAGGTGATCAATGTATAGTTTAAATTATTTTATAATAATCTATCGTCAAACATAAACAGATTCAAGTATAATGCAGGTATTGGAAAAAAATGGGTTCCAAATTTATTACTCAGATGTCATACCATACGTTTCTATTGGCATTTCTTCTGTTGTCTCCGCTAGTGTATAAGTAAATTTGTACTTTAGCTGAAGAATGCACGAGGCATTTATTTTTCGATAATTTATTCTTTTAAATTTGAAGAAAAATGTTAGAAAGATACCGTTTTAGCAAATTTTCTTTTAGTTTCCACCTTACTTCTGCTTTAGAGAAGTTATTGTTTGAATTTTAACTTGCTCTGTTGCTAAATCTTTAGGCAGTTAACTTACTGTTAAACAATTGATCATAAGTTTGTATTTCAATTGTATTACTTTCTATAATTTAAATTTTTTATGAATTTATACTTTAGCTAAACTATGTAGATGTTATCTTATTTTAATCATTTATCCTACTAAACTAAAAAAAATCAAGGATTTGCAATCGCACTTTTGGTTTGGACTTTACTCCTGCAGTCATGCCTATTTCTTTGGATAGGATTTTTGTTTTTTCTACGAATGTATACAATTATGACAACATTGTTTGATGTTAACTTATTGTATAATAATCTATCCTCCTAAATCTAAAAAAAAAAAAAAAAAAAAAAAAAAATTAACAGCAAAGTGGGATGCAGTTTGGGCAGTGTTGGTTCGATTTCACCTTCACTTCTGCAATTATCAAGTTTTGAACCTTTTCTGTCGTTTGTGCATACATTAATTTTTTTAATTAAAACAAGAGCTGTTAATATATTAACTAAAACATGTGTCATATTTATTTAATAAGAGAAAACATTGTTCGTTAATAGTAATTATTTATATAAGGTCAGGGTATATTCAATTATCCGTGTTTTACTGACAAATTCAATGACAAACAGGCGGCCTTTTTAGAACAATATCGACTGTCTTTTCTGCAGTTGGTTTAAATAGTAATAAATCATTGTGACTGTTTTTCTTAATTTAACTAATTTAAAATGCTTTAATTGGTATATATGAATATTGAAAGATATAGTAGTAAATCCATTACAGTTCGTGGTCCGATTGACCAATTAAAATTTTTCACTTAATTAATATTTATGAAAGGTATTGGTCGAGATAAAAAAGTCATTGTTACGAGCGGGATTCGAACCCACGATCTTCGGCTAAATACGCCGCTGCTCTACCTAAATATTAATTAATTGAAATATAGCAGTGAGTTGAAAATTGACTGACGGAACAGAACAAAATGTTCTTAAGCTGACAAATGTCTTAGTTTTACTTATATCGAATGCCAAAGAAAAATACTTCTGATGCTGGGTATTGGTCTTCTCAGTGAACTCGTGCTGCAACCGGCACTGGGTCACTTATTGGGTTGGTTTTCACTCGCAGGTTTGTTGGAACTATTCAAACGCGTTTCTATATGTGTTTACTGACGCGCAGGTCAACACCCACTATACACTTGAAGCCCTGAAGTAAGAAAAAAGTAAAAAAAACCAACGTACCGTTGTGTAATTGTAATATAAAAATGTAAAAAACTATTTTTTAAGTTTGAGTTACTCACTGAAGATGGCACAATGCCGAAACCAGTTTGAGCGTTCAGCAAACTCATGAGTCAAGACCCAATAAGTGTCCCAGTCCGGTTGAAGGATGAGTAACACTTCTTTTATTATTTTCAACCCTGAGGACGAGTAGATTTTCAACTAATTAGTTAACATAAGTCTTATCTTATTTTAATATATTTATAATCAAAATGAACGCATTACAATGTTTTATCATATTCGAAAAGTAACTATCGGAAATATGTTAATTGGGTCTAATTGAATAAAAATCTAACCTGCAAGACAAAATTGTGAGGGAATATTTTCTCTGAGATTTAAGTTGGTAAAGAGCTTTTTTTATGAAACGTTTCGTGAATAATGTATTTAACTGGGTAAGCCGATATCGACTAGCTTTGTGAACGCGATGGTTGGCAAACGTACGATAACATCAACGACTCAACACGATATACTCCTCTGGCCTTGTCTCAACATAAACACTCGCAAGAAAAGATATATATTGTTATGCTAGGAATCGAATTAATTTTACCATTCTTTTTTTACGATTACGTTATATAATAATAATATGGTGGGAAGTTTAGGGGCCGGTAAAGGGCTGAGGTCATCGCCGTCCCTCTGCGAGTTTTTACTTCTTTTGTGGTCTTCCACACCTATTTTTCTAGTTGCAGCCATATGAGCTTTTCAATCTGTCACTGATTCTCTGCTTTTGTAAGAATGCTATGTCAATATCCTAAAATGCTACCTCCTATTTTTACCTCAGACAGATTACCACAAACAGAAGTCTGGTCAAATTCACTCAGAGAGTACTCAGTAATCCTCTGGGCAGGGTTAAGCAACTCCTTAACGCTTTAACCCCTTTCATTTTACGCTAATAAATTACACACATTTAAATAAATTAACGTAAACACAAGTCCCGATATAAACATAGAAGTACGGTCACATTCACTCCTCCAGACTACTCGATTTTCTTCGGGGCTTGGTCGAACCCATTCCATTTTCGCTAATAATTTAACTTTTAATCTCCAGACGTCATACAATCACCCCAAACAAAAGATTTTTTATTTACTCAACTAATTCACTTCTTCATTGGCTATTCTATAATTTGGAAAATATTTAATTTTTAGTATGTAAACGAACCAAGTTATGAGAGGTGATCACTGAGGTATTCAAGAATTATCTGGAAGTAATCCGTGGTAATTGATCCATTTGAATTTTTGTTTGTTACTGTTTTTTAAGAGGGTTCGCAACATCAGTGGTTATCAACCCTAGGGGTGTCAGTTTTTTTTTTAAATTATGAACTCAGAACCTTGGCCACCGACGCCCTTCAAGGTTTTATTAATTTTTATTTAACCAGTTCATGTTGTGTTGAATCCAATATGCCAATCGGCAGTAAATATTTGATAAAAATATTTATTTTAAAATAAACACTGAGAAAGGTTGGGAAAATGAATATAAAAGCCAATCTTAATGAAGATAAATTTATTAAAATTACAACATGAAGAATTTATTAAAATTCAGATTCATAGTTGAATTTCAGGCTTTTTATTTTATAATTTAATATAATATCTGAAGTTTAATCATATATTTATTGCGTAATAACGTGATGGTAATAGTTCTTCGAAATAAACTATGATATGAAATTCAACAAGAATCTATAAATATTTTCAAAAACTGTAATAATTATAATAAATATGTAAATATCGAAAAAGATAAAAGATTAAAACGATTTCCCTATTATTTAATATAATTATGTAAATCTGAGAATGAAAAATATAGCGGCAAAAATGGTTTATCCAAAAGTAGATCAACAGTCAGATTTAAAGCTGAAGCATTTCGTGTCATTTCAATCGGGTCTGGAAGAACGTCGAACAGAAATAACATTTCCTTTTAAAATTTCAAATAGATATTTATAAACTTTAAAACACAACCTGTACATAGTTTTTTCTCTTTTCAAGGCGTAGACGGTTATATATAATTTTAAAGGTTTTTAGTTAAAAGGCCCCAATTAGCAATTTTGATTTGCCTTTGGCACTCTACTACTCTATTCCTACTATTGAAAATGTCCGTATTATCTAATTAACCTCTAAATATCGACATTGTTCTCAACCACTTGTTTCAATTTTTTCCAACTAACAAATAACGAAAAACATATATTTCACACTTTCCGGAGAAGCTTTAGAAATCACATTGAACATGAAATATACATAGATTTTTATAAAATAAAACTCTGTCAGTATTTGTAAATATATTTTGGTCGCGCTTTTATGATCTCTTATTTAATTTTTTTTTTCTCACAGTATAAAACATATAACTCTTTTGAAGGGGTAAAACAGAGTTCAAAATTCAACGAATTTCTGTAAACCTAAAATAATTTGCATTCTAAAGCTAAACAATTTTTTTAAAATATTCTGTACAAATATATCTTTAAACAATTACTAAATCGAAAGGAGTCGCATAAACTCCTATCACAATTTGAATTTAACAATTTTTATTGCAACTAACTGCTACAAGCCAATTCAATTGAGCACTGTAAAATTTAACTTAAAACAAAAATTGTTGAGTATACTACTCGCAACCTTTTTGGCTAGGTGACTCTAAAATGGCCATTTCGACAGCCACTTAAGGAATTTTGTAAAGGAACAAGATTTTGTATTTATTTCCTTTCAATTTTCGTCCCTTAGACTCTTAAATACGCGATGTCTACGTGAAGAGCATATCAACATTGTTGAACACGAGGTAAATTTAATTAAATTTCGTTTTTTTACACAATTAATAATTTATAGGGTGAATTTCTAAAACTCATTTTAAAAATTATCAGTTGGCTACTAGTTATGGTCATTTCGAGTGAAAATTCCAAAGGTGTTTTGCTTTTAAAATTCCCCTTGCACTATTATAACGTTAAGTTTGTCATTAGTGTTAATTTTTGTTCCTACTGTGTATTACGAAAATTGTTAAAATTTTGCAGCAGCAGTTACATGTATTTTCAAACTTGAGTCTTAAGGGATCTGAAAAAAATATATACTCGATATTCAAGTTCCTTTTTTTGTTGAAAATATGCTGTTTTAAATAAACTTTTAAATTAAGCATATTCGTAAGTGTATAAGAACATACACTTTTAAAACAACTTAACTACACAGAATAAGTGTGGCTTATTCCTAATTTTGAATTATTTTTTAGATTTGAAAACAGGTGCTGACGTATTGTCATTGCACGTTGATATTCCGACAAAAACAAATCTTTTACCACTAGTTAAAATCCTTGTACTGTTCTCTTGTTTCTATATCATAAAAATATCCTCGTTAAAAGTTGATATGATTAGTGAAACCTCTATACTATAGAATTGCGATATACCACTCTACGATCTGCCCCACTCTAACCTATATACTTTTCCTTAAGGATTTATTATATTCTATTTTATTGCGATTAGTATTTATGTGGTTAATATTCGAGATGGAAAATAACCTCGTTGTTTTTGTTTTTTTACCGGACATCGAGAAGTGAGGAAGAGCTTAAGAAGAAAAATGTTGCTAATAAATTGGGGGTAGTTCGCTAGACTTCGGTGTGGAGGGGTGGTTGGCCTGTTGAGCATGTACCTTCCTCAGGTTGTTCTATCACTGTCAGTACTCTTCCTCGTCCTCGTACTCCTCTTCGTCTTCGTCCCTGGAAATTAAATTATTTTATTATTATTTGGACATTTTACATTATGTTAATTTTAACGCGAAGCTTTGGGAGGGGAGATTTTACTTCCACATCAGCCGCGTTGTGTTTACCTGTATTGAACAGGTCAGGACACAATACTTTTTGTAAATACTTAGCCTTTTTCTGTATCACTTTAGACAATATCCAGATTTGCCAGTAAAAAGTAGATTATTTGTACATGAAGAAAACTGATAAAATCCCGAACTTGTCAAAGAGAGAAGAGCATTTTGATTTGTTTAGATATCCATGAGGTTTCTTCGCTTATAATTTTAGGAAACGAAACAATTTTCTTGCGTTTTCCAACTTGTTTAAGGGCAACATGTTCGCGTGCACGCCCGGGCAGAATTTGCACCCGATTACAAATAATTGATGCCTGGAATTGACTGAAATAATTGTTTTACCTTTCTCTCTCACGGATTCATTCGTCGTCCATGACGAAGGTCGGGTTCGTCCCCATGCTTTCGACGCAGTCGGTTTCAGAACTGAAATTTTTGAAATACTATTTGAAGATGGATTCTATTTTGAAAACGGTCAGACACACCTCTCGGACGGGACAGATCGACAAGACAATTGTGATTTTTGCTTTACGTGCTTTCTTTCCTTTCTAAGGTGCCCTGATGTTCACAAACGAAATTGCTCGGAATTCGTGTATTCGCAATTTTGCTGAGTGGTTTGCATGCATATTACCAACTTAAAAAAAGTAAATAAAAATAATAAAAACATAATAAAAAAAAAGAACATAGCACACAACGTTAAATTCACACAAAGGATTAAGGAAAGCTGTTAATATTTTTGCATTATTGATTTACATTTACATTTTTAATAAAGAAAACTTATTAAACTTCCGCATTTTTAATTTGATGAAATATAAAATATTCTGAACTATTTTAAGTTAAACGATTTTATGTTTTAGTTAGTCCAAAATGGGCACCAAATTCACGAATAGACATTTTGGCCTAAAATAATTAATAGGCGCGAATATTAGTTATTTACAAAGAATCAGAAAACTGGAGAGTCCATTTTGGAATATTGTTTATGAGAAAAAATTGATTTGTTTACAAACTTTTGTTTTTAAATGTCCTTGTAATCAAAATTTATTCAAAATTACTGCCTTCTGAAGAATATAGGGACAAGAGTCTTAGCAGTAAAATCAGAAAGTAATATATTACAGTGTAATTGAATTGCTAGCTTCTCAATGAATAACTAAGTGGTGACTTACGCTGTCGCTTTTGTTAAAAATCTACGAAGACTACTGGTAAACAGTTGGAGCTTACTCGTGTTTTGAGTGGAAGCTCTCGACGTACGAAGAGGTGTCGATGGGTTGCCTGGAACGGTTGCAGCCGGGGCAGTACCAGTAGATGAGGACGCCGATTGATATGGCGAAAAGGACGTTGGGGATGACCAGAGATAGGATGAGGTGCCGTAGGTTGTCGTCCCACGAATACCTCGCCACCACCATGCTCGGGTAGGTCTTGCTGTAGTAGCAGGGAAAAGGTGTGCCGAGGTTCTTTGAGCCGTACTGCTTCGCGAATTCAGAGCAGTTCACCCTCGGCGGATACCCGCAGCCTTCGGTGTTTATGAAGAACCTCGTCTCGCCCACGTCCCACTGGACAGTCTTCATATCTATTTCGCTCTGGAAAAAAAGAAAAGAAAAGAAATGTTCAGTACCAATAACATCAAATTCATTACTGAAGGTACAGATTTTTATTTTTAATTAAGACATTGTTCTGTTCATTGATACTTGAAACGATGAAAAGGAAGTGATTTTAGATTGGCGCCAAAAAATCAGTGTTACCAATACGCGTGATGAAACTTTTGAAGGAAAAACTCTGCTTCCGCCCTAAACTCATAGGTTTAGATAAGTTTTAACAAATTTGCTAAATTTTGTATTGGGAAAGAAAGGGTTAATGACGAACTTTATCTATTTTGACCTATATGGTTGTGCCTGATCTATTTAGGGTTTTATTGTATATGTTGGGTGTTGGTCTGCAAGTTATTAAACTTATGCTAAAGCGGCATTGGGTTACTTAATCTCTTATTAACTGCTCAATGAATAGTTTGACAAACCGTTGAGAGAAGATGGACAAATAAGCGACCTAAAGTCGGCATTTACTTTTGAAGATTTTAAAAACAGTAATAAAATAGATGACAATTAATACTAGTTGATTTTTGATCAAGTTACTACTTACATATGTTGTCTACAGGTTAGTTGCAAAATAGTCTAGCCAGTAAGCTGTATTGGAGGTATTTGAAAATAATGTTCCATCTGCTCACTAGAGAGATGTTTAAAGAGGAGTAGATATTTGAGAAACCTACTTGAGATTACCTTTTGCCATTCTTCGAAGGGAATTTTCGAGTAGTTGACGAGTATCTGGTGGCACCTGAGGGCGGCGTTGGTGCATCCTTCCCTACACGAAGACCAGGAGCAGTTGCTTAGCCCTTCCGCGTAGACGTGTTCGACCGCGATGCACGTCACAGGGTTCTGCTCGTAATCGGCGAGTATGGTCGAGATGGCCGGGTCGACTACGAAGGGGATGAGGAACAGGAATGCGAAGACCGAGAGGATGGCTGTTGTTCCCAGGCAGAGCGACGTGTAGAATTTCGTCTTGACGAGGAGAGCCGCGACGTCCACTCCTGCCACCAGGTTCTTCACCAACATTTTGGCATTTGCGATCCCTTCATCCATGATTTGCCGTTTTTATCAACACATCGACTTGAAATGTCTTTGATTTTGCACTGAAGCCGCTGTTACTTTTCACCCTTCACAAACTAATCAACTTCGAAGATACAATCTACCTTAATTATTAATTATTAAACAGCAGTATAAAAAATCTCACTAATTGCTCTCTCTTATTTGCTCATTGGACGCACATCAATTTATGTTTAATATCAAATCAAATAGAAAATAAAACGAAAATTACGTCGTTTTATGGCTACCGGATGCCAATCGACATTACCAAAATCACAAATTGGAAGTCATTTTCCTTTCATATCGTCATACGAAATTATAAACGTAAATCAGTCTTTTTCTTATCTTAAGTGAATATTGTTTGACGCGTTCCCCTCCGTTGTTGGCAATGATTCTGTTTAGAAATAGGATTAGGCAGCATTTACGCTATTTACACTTTCTTTGTTTCTTTTTTCTTTCTTAAGCGTGCTTTCTAGTAAGCTGTTATGTGCATTAAGTGGTCTGAATTGTGCTTATTTAGTAGTCTTGTAATGAAAACACTTGCTGCGTTGGGCTGTCTTGAAGGAGGGGAATGCCTGAAAAAAAGAAGAATAAATTAACTACCGTTCCAATTAAGCAATCAATAAAATTATGTACAATCAACTATGTATCGCCTCTAAAAAGTAAAAAGATAATGTTGTACCACAAAAAAAAATACACATGCTATACATTCCGAAAATCACCCTTTTCAATGAGAAATTTGATTAAATGACCTTTCATTTTTAAACTTATTTCATACGATTTATACTTTTCTTTAATACAAAAGAAATCCTTTAGTTCAATAATAGGAAAATAAAACGAATTTCTCTCCTTTAAATCCAGATCGATAGAAGGCTGGCATTATAAGTACCCCCTCTCTTGGCCTAGTTAAGTAAAACGAGAGTCAGTTCTTGGGCCTTCCCAAACAGCCATGGGAGGAAAATGGAGAAGGTTACGATATTGTTATAGACTTGGACTGTTATATAGGCTTGTTTTCTTGTAATTTATGTAAATTTCTATGTTAATCTTACGTGACGGATCTCAGAGTGCCATTGCGTGATCCCCTCCCCCTGTATCGCCCATGGAGTTTTCCTTGTCGGCCCCTATACTCGTAGCACCCGCGCCCCGTTTTTTGAAGCGCATTTTGGCGTCGTCTCCGACTTCGACAGTTCTCTGGCAGAGGACCAATGTGAGGCAGGAGACAACGAAGAGAACGGACGGTACCACGGAGGCGAAAACAAATTCCCTGTAGGTATTTTCTAGGTTGAACCTGGCGACGACCACGTCCACTTTCTCTTCGGCGTAGTAACAAGGGAACCTGCCGCGGGCGTTGTGGTCGGATCCGTCTTTTCCGTATTCTCGGAGGAATTCCTTGCACTCGTCTCTGAGTGTGTTGACGCATCCCTCCATGTTAATGAGCAGTTTGCTGTCGTTGGCGATTAGCAGATCAATTTCTGGTGGAGCGACCTGTCTGGTCTCGTCGACCAGCTTTGTATTGGTCACGCTCAAGTAACTTAGATATGTGAAATTGGTCAAATCGCTTAGGACGCTCTTCTCGAGGAGTGTGCCGTTGATGCAGTCGACGGCGGCTATTCCTATCGATGTGTTTTCTATATTGTAGCACGACATCATGAGGATGTTATCTTGGTTTTCGTTCCACACTTCCTTATCGGTTTCTGTCACTAAAGCTCTCTGACACTGAGAGAGATACACTTTATCACCACTCAACACTATAGTGTTCTTGTTCCTGGTAGGGATGTCGAGGCACCTCCTTTCGCAGTTATATGGTGTCTTTATACCCTTGCACAACCCTCTGTCGCAAGTCTGTAAACCGTCCATTTCTATGCAGTTGATTTTTCCTCTTCTACCCGAACACTTGAGACCCGCGTCCACGTTTTTGAAGACACACTCGAAGGCGTCGGTGATGTTTGTGCACATTCCCAGGGTACAGTTGAAGGTACCCGTCAAGTTGCGACATTCGTCCGCGATGCAACGGTACTTTTTGGCGTTCTCTTGGTCTATACCGTAGCAAGTCTTGTTGGCCAAGTTGGTGCAGTTGGCCAAGTAGATGTTCGTGCCGTTTTTCCTGAGATTGACGTATATTTGAATGCAGGATCCCGACGTCTTGCTGAGACACCACTCTCCGCAAGAGCCCCAATCGCAAGAATCAGTATTCACTGCTCTCGTCGTGGCGCACATGACCGGGTCCGTGGCAATCCCCGACCGAAAAGCTCTGATCGAAGGCATATAAATAGCGACGGTCAAGTAGACTAATGCCACACAGCTCAGTACCGCCGTCATCTGACACATGCATATCGTACCGCATATTTTGGTGTTCTGAGGAGGAACGATGAGATCCTCAACCGCTGGTTTTTTATGCTTGGGCATCCTTCGCGTTTACGAATTCAAAACTGTTACGACCCGGTACTGTTCGTACTTACAGCACCATATGCTCTTGCTCCTCAAATGCTGTTATCTCTTATCATATTCGAATGGCGATTGCTATTGACGACATCCGATCATCAGCGTTGTCACTCCACTTGAAATTGTCATGGCTAGAGGCACTGTGGTGGAAGACGGACCTTAAAGTAAATTATTTACAAAAGAAACTGTTTAGTGTTACCGTCGTGGCTCGTGTGAATGGACTGCATCTTGGGTATCGGTCGATACGCTCCGGGCCCCTCTCTGGGCATGCCTGGGATCCCCTTCCTCCTAGCCCAAATACCATGCCCAGCTTTTCAATACACAAGCCATTCTGACTTACTGATACTCATTATAACCTATTTTCAAATAATTCACGCATTTTTTCTGAGATCCGAAATGCACTGTTTAAAAAAAAGGTGTCTAAGGTTATTTAAAACAAAATATATGTATTATATTTAGAAATATAAGTAAATTTGACACTGCAATAATATAAATTTTGATTTAAGTTGGTCGATTTTATTTTCTCGGTTCACAAACATGGTAGGAATTAGCACCGAAAATTTTGTGTGATAAAATTTTAAAAGTAATTATTAGATCACCTCCTGACAAGTTGTTTTTGGGAAATCCTAATGAGGATCTTGAATTATGGGAACAGTAGTTTATTTTCAATTCTTGTTTAAACCTAGTTTATTATATTTATGCCATTTTTCTAAAATCTAATTACAATCTTAGAACGTTTTTGTCGTTTTTAAAGATCATTAAAGCAATGTAGCGCGTACAATGTTTCATAGTTTATGCTATATAAGCAAAAAATAATTTAATTTCATAATGTTAATATCTTATTAATATTATATGATAATATTATTTTTTTGACTTACTTATAAGTTGCATACAGTATATACTCTCACTACTTACAAATGATTCATTTCAGTACTTCTATTCATTGCCATTTGTATTTATTTGTTTATACCTAACAGTTTTTATAATTAAATATTTCTTTAAAAATCTAGGTGTTGGTTTTTTAAACTAAAACATCAATTACTTTTATGTCATATATTTCAATCGCTGGTCGCTCTTTAAAGCTATAATAAGCGATTGAAATCAATGACATAAAAAATGATTGGTGTATTAGTTTAAAAAAATACCAGCAACCCAATCTGGGTTATTAAAATTTTGCTCACCAAACTAGATTAATAAAATTAATTTCTTTACAAAATTCATAATAAACTCAATTTAAAAAACTATTTAATTTACAAATCAGGTGTTTTTTTGCAACTTTAACAATTTTTATTGACCTCTACCTTTCTTTTAATTTTAGTGATGATATATTGATACTTATGAGCTTTTACGATCACCAGGTGTGGTAAATAAAACCGACAATCATAGCATAAGTGTCTAAAACGTAATCTTTATGAGGAGTATGTACGGTATATAAACAGGAAAAAATGAATAGTTTTCAATAACAGTTTTATTTATTTTGGCCATTTTTTTGTAACGATCGCATGAGTGCTTAGTCATTTGTTTTTTGTTAAACCTGAGATGGTTTAATTCCGAATTTACTGGAACAAATACCTTAACGCTTTTTCTATTATGTAAATGATTAAAGTTACCCAGAAACTAATATATAATTAATACTACTTGAACACAGTGATTAAAAAACACCTTTTAAAGGGGCGTAAATAAATAAAAATGTGAATTAAAGTGGCAAACTCGTCTTAAAAAAGTAGTGTTATCTTCTAAGAAGCCAGTAATTATAAGTAATACATATAATAATATTGGAGACCGCGGTATCTGAGTGGGGCGTCCGATTCGTACTTGCCACGCTAGCGCTAGCGGTCCTGGGTTCGAATCTCGGCGAGCACATTGCTTTTCAATGGATTACAGTACGAAAAATATATTATAATAGACAAAATATTTGTATGGAGACAACTCGTTGGCGACACCCAACGGGTAGGTGGATGTTAAACCTCACTGTATGACAGGAATTACTTTCCTTGTTTTTACCTTTTATAATAACATTGTCCGAATATAAAAATCAAAGAAGAAAAAGTTGAATAATAATAATTTTTTAAAGAGATTACTTCAACTACGACGTTATATGAACCCTCGGGGTACGGTGTTTTTGAAAAAAAAAGCCCATTTGTAAGTATGTCGGGTTCGAATGCAGAGCCGCTGGATTCGAACCCCGGACCTTTACCTTACAGTGATGTGTAACGTGTCAACGCCTAAACCGTTGCGGCCCCCTACGCCCAAATTATTTTTTTAATTTTAAATTTAATTTTTTCTTCTTTGAATCGTTGAAGCATTTAAGTTTTACATTTGTAGTAAGCAATTAAAAATCCTAATTGATTTGATTTTTTAAAAATTTGGTTATATTACGTTTATTTCAATTTTGCAAATTTGAATTTGGTTACGGAATTATCAAACTTGATTTTGTTGATTTATCTAATGCAAATTTTTAATTACTTGGGTAAATATTGTCATTTAAACACTTTAATTATTTGCGAATTGGAACAACGTGCAAAATGTTATCTGCTGGTTGTTTTAGTTGGAAGTTAAATTGTACACGATACCCAATAACAAGATGTTCGATTATCTCTTTCGAGATGTATTTTCTCATACACATTTTACTTTTTTAAAACTTTTTATAATAAAACTGTCCAAATTTAAAAATCAAAGTTTTTTTTAAATTTCAATTTTCTTCTTCAAATCGTTGGAGCATGTAAGTTCTACATATGTTGTTAGAAATTAACAATCCTATTTTATTTTTATGTTTTAAATTTGGTTATATTATCTTTATTTCAGTTTTGCAAACTTGAATTTGGCTATGGAATTATCCAATTTGATTATGTTTATTTATATATTGCAATTTTTTAATAATACTTCAAATATTAAATACGTTAATTATTTACGAATTGGGGCGAATTGCAAAATTTTATCTGATGGTTGTTTTAGATGAAGTTAAATTATAGACGATACCCCAATAACGAGATGTTCGATTATCTCTTTCGATATATATTTTCCCATTTAACCGCTCCCGATTTTTTTATTTGTTCTGTTTTTATCCGATGACCCTGACAAAAGTGCCCGCCGGTCGATTTGTCTGCAATTGTGACGACAGCAATCGATATGGGGGGCGCAAAGGGTGAACTACTTTGACTATTACCTTAGAAACGGGGATTTGATTGCTGCCGGATCGAACAGCTGTGCGGTTCGGGTCGATCGGTAAGCACTGCGGACAGCTTAAGACGAAGACGTTCCGTACCTGACTGACGGGAAATAGGGAAATGTTTTGTTTTTTGTTTTACCCGATCCCCATGGCTACTCGTCTAATTAAATACGATCGATTTTAATTTATTATTGAAAAAGTGGCTTCCCTTCGCCAATTGGGTTTTTAATGGTTCGAATTCCAAGAAATGAAAAGGCACAATACATCCGTATTTGTTATAACAATTTTTTTATCAGTGTTAAAATCGCTTTGGGATGCTATTAATAGAAATGCCTCCTGTCACGCAACATTGTTTCCTATTAATCTAGATCCTTCCATCCCAAATGTAAACACCGTTTTACGAACAGTGATAATTGGTCGAGTTTTATGGCCATAGATCATTTTATATTTATGTTTTTATTTTGTAAGTTTGTTTGAATTATGCGGGTTATGTGGTTTTTTAATTAAAATAAATATTAATAATCTTTCTAATAAATAATTCAGACTTGTAGAAAAATACATATTTACATATAATATATATACTAAAATACATATAAAAATAATGAGAGTGGTAAGTTCAGATGTAAATAGTGGTGACTTTGGATAAGACGTAAATATGCTTGGATAAAAAAGTACCTGTTGGCGCTTAATCCCGTTTCGTTGAAAAATGCTTAATCGTAATTCGTAGAAAGCTGCAGCGTGGTATGTATAAAACTCGTCATAAACGAACGTGTTTACTTAATAGAGCGGTTTCATTTCAAGTTGTCAATGGTCGGTAACCACCATGACGTCCAGGATCAAACAAGATGGCGCGAAGCACGAGTAGAGCGATCTCGTGGTCCTCAGGTTGAAACGGGCTCCCGATCAATACCCGTCGGTTCCGGATGGTTTCGCTGACTCGGTGGCGGAATCTGCCCGAGGACGCGGGGACCACATCGGGTCTGCTCCAAATGAACGGCCAGAAGGCACTCCTGACCCCTTGGGAGTGGGGTAAAACAAATGTTCACTCCCGCTCCCGTTTTTTAAAATTCATAGCTGCTTTCTTTGCACTGGTGTAGATTATTTACGGAAAAAGGAAAACATTCCGAGTCACCGCTTAGTGCATTCATTACCCTCCTTAAGACCCTTTGTACTTATTCAACGGCACTTTTCAGACAAAGCGTGGGCAATAGGCCACGCTGTTCCTATTTGGTCATACCGAAACTTTCCGTTTATCTATAACATCCCATTTAACTGTCTGTCTGATTATAGTGTCTTTTGTTCAGCCATTTTAAATTCTTCGTGAGAAAGAGATAAGGCGACAGTTTTTCTATACTCGTTTTTGGAAGGACCGATTTCAATGTAATCTAAGTATTCAAAGAATATCGTAGTAGAGATAACTCTAACGACAAAAACGATCCCTAAGGCATTCTAGCAAATGACACATATTTCAATCGGTTATTCGATTCGGAGAGGTTTGACAACGACATTAAAAACACATCATTTCATATAAGAACAAAAAATTAGATTAATATTTTTCGGTTTGTTTAACGTCAATACAAATATATATATATATATAATGTACGGGGTGTATGGTATGCTGCGCCTTTTGAGAATTGTTTTATCCCCCTTTCTGTTGTAGTTATAGCACACTGGTTACTCCTAGTCCCTCAAGAAATTTGATTAGTAGGCCCGGTTTCAATGGTTTAATTTCTTCTATGGTTCATTGTCATTGTTCATTCCAAAACACATCCTTCTGTTTTTTCTTGCATTGATGCATTCTGTTATTTCTTGCCTTCAAAACTTTTCTAAACGTTTCTTGGATTGATGTTTGTCGAATAAGTGAATTCCACTGACACTTCATTTTCATTTCGTCTTTTGTCTAAGATCCTCAGTGTGAATCCTTATGCCATAGAAGAGCTCAGGACCTTTCAGCGGTATAGCAGTCACTTTACTTGCAAGGGCGTCCGCCCTCTCGTTTCCCCCTGCTCCCACATGTCCTGGACCCAGCACATGGTGCTTTTAT